CCAAGTACTGGAAAATGCTCACTCTGGGTGCATTGCCTCACCTGATGCACCTTCTCTCCTAAAGCTTAATATTTTCCTTTGTTTCTGGAGTGGTGCAATAATTCAAGGAGCTTTGGTGCAGGAGGGTCTCAAGACAGCCTTTTCTCTCTCAGAAATCTGAGAATGTCTTTTCCCTGATTAGAGCTCTTGTCCTGTTTGGCCCTTGGGATGGCCCCACAGCCAAGGAGGCTAGGATCTCCAAATGGAGGGACCTATCTCCAGAGAAGCCTTAATCCCATCTCCCCACAAGCACTGGAAAGTACTCACTCTAGGCACAGCACCTCACCTGATGCAACTTCTCTCCTGAGGCGCAATTGAAAATTCATTTTTAATGCACAGATTATGAAGCAATGTACTCAGTAGAATCTCAATTCTGTTTGAAAAATACATATTCATAGAAATTTAAAGATATACATAAGTGTATGTACAGTTGGATTCTACATTCACTTATTTAATTCACAAAAATGCATAGGGTGTTTACCATATGCCAAGTATTATCAATTATGATCTCTTTCTTAAACTCTAGCCACTGGTACCCAAATATCTAATGAGCATTCTGTCCTGGAGCAAGATAATAAAGTAATATTTTTCTTACTGTCTTTTTAAATTTATCATTTTTTGTTGGCATTTAACTGAAAATTTATAAAAAAAATTGATTTTTCCACTCAATTGTTCATATTGATTTTGTTTTATAAAATTATTTGCAACATCACAATATAATCTAGAACAATCTAGGTTCATCCTAGAGAGGGTGAAATCAGGCTGCTCCTTGTAGACAAGGATTCTGAAACTTTGTCTGACATAATTTGAACATGTTACAAGGAGGGACCAGTCCTTGGAGAGGGACATCATGCTTGGGAGGGTGGAGGGACAGCACAGGAGAGGAAGACCCTCAATGAGATGGATTGATTCAGTGACTGATGTGATGGGGGTAAGTGTGTCAGAGACAATAAGGTTGGCACAGGATAGAGCAGGGTTTAGGGCTCTTGTTCAAAGTGTTGCTATGAGTCGCAAGTGACTCGACTGCACATAACAACAACAACAACAACAACATAATGATACTTTTTTCACTTCCTGCACATAATCCTATTTCCCATTAACTATTCTAATCTAGCCCTTCTTGCCTTCTGGAATTTATCCTTGGGCAAATGCTACTCTTTTTACCCTAATGGTTGGTTATTAAGGAGTGAGTACCTCTCTGGTGTTATTGATTAACTTATAGACTTCTCTATTGTTTAGCAAAGTTGAGCCATGAAGGTGTTCTTTCAAATTTGTAGGGTGACTAATGGCTGGAGTCTTGGGGATTCTACCAGTATCTACAAGACCAGAAAGCCTGATCTTTTCGTTTGTGAGTTTTGTTGCTCATTTCCCCCCATCTCTTTCTAAGATCTTCTACTTTCAAAATGCCAGGAATATCATTTATATATGAGAGCTTTGACATTTGTGTGTGTGTGTTTTAATTGTAGAAAATCTGTGAAGCTATCTCCCTAAACTGACATCCTTCCTTTGTCTTTTTAATTATCATGTTTTTTGTCATCCAAAGTTATTTTTATGTTGTCAAATTCATCAATGTGTTTTTATTATGCTTTTGGAATTTGAGTCATAAGAAAGTTTTCTTCATTTCTGGATTATAGGTGAATTTATTCATGTTTCTTATAATACTTTTGTATTTTTTTCCATTTAAGTACTGAGCCATCTGGAATTTATCCTGAATTAAGGTGAAATATTGGATGCCATTTTCTTTTTTTATAACATATTTGTGATGATCAGTCATAAAAATGAGTTTTGCTAGTATCTCTTAGCTTTTTGTGTATAGTCTTGCTTTGCTGCAAGAAACATTTTCATCTTTATGTAATAAAATTGATGAAGGTGTCACTTAAAAATGTGTTTGGATTCCACTACCAGGATCAGAAAAACTAGATACCATTGATGACTCCTTTAAAAGGAATCGATAGCAGATCATCACTAACAGAGCACGAGAAAAATGTAGAACAAAGCTCAAAATCATAAAAATGACCAGGCCTGTTGGTATAATAGAGACTGTTGAAGCCCCTAAGACTGTGGACCTTACTCATCCTTGGAACCTAGAACTAAAGTCAACCCTGTGGCTCAACTTTCAGCCAAACAAAAGGCAGGACTAAAATTTTTTATAAAATAGATAAAACATTATTTTAAAATATTGTTTAATAGACCTTTCACTCTTTTAGTTTTGATATGTTGTTGTTGTTATGTGCCGTCAAGTCGCTTGCGACTCATAGCCACCCTATATACAACAGCCCTAAACTCTGCCCTGTCCTGTGCCAATCGCACTGTCTCCAATACACCCATCCTGAATACCCCAGTCACTGAATCAATCCACCTCGTAGAGGGCCTTCCCCTCCTGCACCCTCCCAAGCTTGATGTTCCTCTCCAAGGACCTGTCTCTCCTTACAACATGTCCAAAGTATGTCAGATGAAGCCTCAAAATCCTTGCCTCCAAGGAGCCACCCGGTTTAACCCTCTCCAGGATGAATCTGTTTGTCTTCTTAACAGTCCATGGTACCCTCAATTCTCTTCTCAAGCTCCACAGCTCAAAGGCATCAATTCTCCTTCTATCCTCCCTCGTCATTGTCCAACTCTCTGACACATAACAAGTGATTGCAAAGACCATGGCCTGTATCAGACACATCTTAGTCTCCAGAGAGACACCATTGTTCTTCAGTACTTTGGAGAGGTCCCTAACAGCAGACTTTTCCATTGCAATATGCCTTTTAATTTCCTGGCTACTGGTGCTGAGAGTGTTGACTGTGGAACCAAGCAAACTAAAGCTGAGAACAATCTCAATCTCTTCACTATGCATCCTGATGCTGCCTATTGGTCCAGTGGTGAGAATCTTGCAATTTTTTTGTATTTAAGTCACTGCATGTTATTGTTGTTATGTGACATCAAGTCAGAACCGACTCATAGTTGACCCTCTTGTGTGTTTTCAGAGGCTGTCAATCTTGTGGCAGGAGACAGCCTATCTTTATCCCATGGATTCAAACCACCTGCTTTTGAATAAGCAACATAGTTCCTTACCACTAAACTAGCAAAGCTCCCTTGTCATAGTGTATTTTTAGAAAAATTTAGTATATTACTTTGAGGACCAGTTATATATATATATATATATATATATTCCAAATTTTGTGTACTAATTTACAGAAAAACAGATTTAGTAGATAGCAGGATTCTGAAGCTTTTATAAGATAAACACTGACATATAAAATGTTAAAATAATTTTAGACTATACTTGATGAAACGATTCCTCATTCACTGTTTTCCTTTTGGAATTGCAAATCATACTTTCTAGAGAAGTAAACATACTTACTGACAATTACCTTGTCAATCAAGGTCAGGAATAATTTCTGTCATAATTTAAAAAAACCCAAAACTATTATTCATGTTTTTAGAATTAGTAGGATTACTAAAACTATCTTAGGTTTTACAAAAGCAGCTTAATGATGAAATAATATCTGACACATATATAATATTTTAATGTCTTATCTAGTATTTTGGTATATTTCTGGTTGAATGTGGTGTGGGGTAGGAGACTATTTTATCCTGAGCTTAAGCTTCACCCTTACCCCCTTTACTTTATACACACCAAATGTCAGTAGAATTCTTAAGGTGTGTCTGTTAGAAGCCCCTGAGCATGAACTTACCAAAAAGCAAATTAGGTAATTAAAAGCATAGATATCCCTAGAGATTATTTAGGAAGGAGGTTCTGAGTACACTGCATGGTTTCTGGTACACAAAAATTCCTCTTAGCCCTGGTCCCACTGGGTTCATGTTTCAGTCCCATAGAGAACAAGAAATGAGACGTATAAATATCCATAGATAATTATAGGTCTAGATATTAATTTTTCTATACAGATGAATATTGTTATGGGTCTTAGTGGCACAGTGGTTAACAACTAACAGCTGCTCTGAAGGAACAAGATGAGACTACCTGTTCCTATAAAGATTTACAGCCTTGGGAAGCTAGTGGACAGTTCTATTCTGTCCTACAGTATCACTGAGTCAGAATCAACTGAGTGGTAATGGAAAAAAAAATGGAAAGGACAATTCTGTTAGGACTTCTTTAAGACATAGATGTATAAGTAGCTCTGGAATAGTATCCAACTGGAAGAGGAAAATTCTCCATGTTTCAGTAGTTCAACTTTGGCCTACAAGAGACTTCACTATAAGTACATACATAAGTAGTGATACTTTACCTAGTATAAGTAGTGAGGGAGGGCTCCTGCACACTAATAGTGAGAGAGGCCATCAGAAGGAGTAGGACACAGCAGAAGGAGCTGCTATGCCTAGCAGACACAGCAGTATAATTGGAAAAAGACTGACCCTTAAACAAATGTATTAGGTACCTGGTTCACATTTATACCTAAGAAATTCAGAGGAAACATGGGCTATGCTCTTTTTTTGGTTAAGTTCTGACAAATATACATTGCTTGCTATATTGTTTTCATAAGCAGACAGGTTTTCTAAATGGCCTCACATTTTTCCATTAACTTTTTTTGAATCACAAGTAAAATGTTTTCACCTTGAAAACAAGAGACTGACAAGATTTTTTTAAAAGGTTTTTTTCAAATTAATATCACCTATTATTTCATCACTGATAGTCATTGTTAATCTTTCAATGTATGTACATAGTTACCATTTTCTTTGAATTATTACTATTACATGTAATTTTTTTACAAAAATGGGATATTGAATATACTTTTTGAAAGCTGTCATCGCCCCCCCCACTTCATAATGTACATCTTCATGCCAGTGGTGAAACTCATGATTGAATGAGGGAGACTGGGGGCATGAAGGAAGGAGGAGCACACCAATCTTATGCCAGTCACAAGAGAAATGCCTAAAGTAATGCCACATATATAGTTAATATTAAGAAGTGGCAAAAGGTATATAAGAAAATGAAAACGCAAAGTTCAGGTGGCCAATCAACCATCAGGCAAAAGCGAACTCAAGGAAGAATGCGCTAAACAGGGTAAGGGACGGTTCGGTTTTGCCTTCCAGTACATTATTAGCAGTTTGTTTTTTACTCTCTTCATCATCTCTTCCATCTCCTCGGCTACCTTTATCATCTCTTCATTGCTTAAATTTTTGCCATGGATCGCCCCTCTAAATTGAGGGCTAGAAAGAGCCAGCCTTTCCTTAAAACTTCCTTCTTCTAGCTTATGTTTTTCCACTCCGCAAGGAGGCTGCTCCCTGGGAGAGCGCTCCTCAAAAAGGTGTTTGGTAGAAAGATGCTCCTCAGGAAGGCGAGCCTCTTGAAGAAGCATCTCAAGAAGGAGCTCCTGTGGAAAGAACTCCTCCTCAGAGGAGGATGGCTCCTCAGAAGACAGTTCCTCCTCCTCCTCTTTTTCCTTTTCTGGAGAATGATTTTTGGGAGAGGGCCTCACAGGAGGTGGCTCCTCGGGGTTCTCTGGTGAGCCCTGTGGCTCTTTTTCTTTGGATGGTTTTTCCATGCTGGGAATTTTCTTCTTTATGCACACTTACTCTTGGGAGACAAGAAAGGGAGGGTAGAATTAGAATATTGATTTGGAGGATGCACCAAAACCCTAGTCAAGGCTACCAATATCTGGCTTTTCCTTATTTCAGGATCAGATGCTCAAACCCTGTGGAGAGGATCTGTGGCTCGCCCAACCATTAGAACCGCGCGGCTCTGGCCTCGCCTTTGGCTCTCCCTTTCCTTCCCACCTTTTTCCCAGCAGGCCTTGCCACTTGCACACTATGCTGTATTCAGTGGCATCACTGGTACCCTAGACCCAGTCCCTACCTGGACCTCTCCTGGCGATTCGCTTCTTGCCAGCTTCTCCTTGAGGTGTCCTGCAGTCAGCTACACCACAGGATAGGGGACAGAAGATGAGGAAGGAGGGACAGCTAGACTGACACATCCGATTTCTGCGTACACTGTCACTCCTGCGCCAGCTCTTTTTGCGTCTCCACCCCCCCTCCCAAATTCCTTAACAATACTAAGCCTCGCTTTTCCTTCCCCCACTATTCTACTTTTCTCTCCCTGGCCCCAGATGGAAGGTCGAGGAGAAGAAATATTTAGAAAAAAAAATTTTTAAGTCCCCTTCCCAGAAACTCATTCCTTTCCCCACCTTATCCTGAGACACCATTTTCTGCACCCAAACGTAAATGCAAAAGGGGGAGGAGGTTGCAGCCTTGTAACCCAGAGGTTACTGGGCTGCACTGACCCTTACATTGATTTAAAGGGACCAAGGAACTTCCTTCTTTCCGTTTTCCCCCTCGACCAAAGGGCAGTAGGGATATTGTTATATGGACAGGTAAAAGTACCTGGACTAGAGAGACTTAGGCATACCGGCTCCCCAGTCAAGTGAGAGCAGCACCTCACCAATGAGCTAAGATGCCTGTCCTTTGACTAGTGACACTGCCAGCCAATATCTTCTGATCTCTAACACCAAGCTTTCCCACTCACTCCTCTCTGTATTTGCATTTGCCTGGTTAACACAAGCAATCAACATCTTGTCACAAGGAGGTTTTTCCACTTCCTCTTTGAGGCAGTCCTTGATACTGGAGAGAATATCACAGTTGCCACCCCACCCCACCCCACCCCCCAGGTGATCACTTCCTGAGAAATCTAATAACATCTAAGGCAGCTAGATGAAAGACCAGACTAGATAATAGACCTGATAAGGCATTGGGCCTGATCACAAAAGCTCAAACCCAACTTAATTAACACCCAACATTCCAAGAAATACCATCTTCTCTAGTTGTCCCCAGGACCTTATAAGAAGGAACTGCCCATAATTGCCAGCACAGCATTTTTACTTTCTCCCCTCTTGGTCACTTGACATCCCTCTCAGACCATGCAATAAAGGCTTGTTTGTTTGTTTCTTGGGACCAATTCCCTCTCTCTCTCTCTCTCTCTCTCTCTCTCTCTCTCTCTCTCTCTCTCTCTCTCTCTCCCTCTCCCTCTCCCTCTCCCTCTCCCTCTCCCTCCCTCCCTCCCTCAACTCTTTTTCTAACAGATACCACCCTTCTCCCTCACCCTCCCTTTCTCTACCACCAAGGTCTATTATTTCCCCTACAAATCCAGATGTTGAGCTGAAATTTTACTATTTTACCTTCATGAATCAGCATCATATCTCATTGATCTCGCTTTTAATCCACTTCCATAATTATGTCACATTCATGATGTTATTAGGTGCCTTCAAGTCGACTGCAACTCAGCAACCCCATGAACAACAGATCTGAACCTGGCACCAATCTGTGCCACCCTCACTCTCTGCCATACTTGAGCCCATTGTTGCAGTCCTGTGTCAATCCATCTTGTTTAGGATCTTCTTCTCTTTCATTGACCTTCCAACTTTCCAAGTATGATTTTCCCTTTCAAGAACTGGTCTTTCTAACAACATGCCCAAAGTATGTGAGATGAAGTTTCACCATCCTGCCCTCTAAGGAGTACCCTGTTTGCACTTGCTCTAAGACAGACTTTGTTCTTTTGATAGTCCATAGGATATTTAGTACTCTTGTCAAACTCTTCAACTCAAAAGCACCAATCTTCTTTTATCATCCTTACCTTGCTCCCAAAGTGGCACTCGTTGATTCAAGCCATCAGAGAAGTGCCATTTTTTGATTAATTGCACAAGAGGAGATTGTCCATCTTTCTCCCGAGATGGATGTGGTCAGAGTAAACTGCAATCCACAGAATTTTTTTTTCAATCCATAGAATTTTCAATGGTTGATTTTTTTAGAAATAGATCTCCAGAACTTTTTTTCTAAGCCACCTATAAAAGTCAACTCTTGGGTTAGCAGCTGAGCACATAAACTCTTTGTACCATTCTGTACTGGACATTTACTGTTGTTGTTAGGTGTCATCAAGTTGAGTTCAACTCACAAGGATTCTGTGAACAACAGATCTGAACCTTGCCCTATCTTGCCCCATCCTCACTCTCACTGATATGCTCAAGCTCCTTGTTATAGTCACTGTGTCAATCTATCTTGTTAAGGGTCTTCCTCTTTTTCTCTGATTCTCCATCTTTCCCAGCGTGATGTCTTTTTCCAAGGACTTGACCCTTTCTAACAACATGCCTAAAGTATGTAAGAAAAAGTCTCACTTCCACCAAGATAGCCTTGTTTGTTCTTTTGGAAGACCGTGGGATATTCAGTACTCTTTGCTAACACCACAATTTAAAGTCATCCATTCTTCTGTCATCCTTAGTTATTGTCCAACTTTCAGATGCATTGTTGTTCTTGTTATGTGCTGTCAAGTCATCTGTGACTCATAGTGATCCTATGCACAATATCCCTGAAGTCTGTCCTATT